AACAGGCCTTCAGATTCTAAAAATGAGGATAGTCTGTGGTTTATGACGTCGGCATATATCTTTGATGGGATCGATAAAACAGTAATGTGTCTGTAGCTATAGGGGTCTCTTGGATCTGTTTCTTTGCTTGACTTTGTAATCGGTGTTATCGTTCTTCGACTCCATATCTCAGGTATGTCACCACTGTTAAAACTGTACTTTTTACAAGAGTTCAATACAAACTTCGTTCTTGAGTACAGATGAAGCGATATTGTCTAGACCGGCTGCTTGTTCAATTTAGCCCTCTCGATTGCTTTTCGTACCTCCTCTATGGTAATTTCAGAGATTAAAACGGTTGAGCAACTTGTATTCAGATCCATATTATTCAATTCATCTTTAATATGCGTTAGATGTTCATCATCGAAACCAGAGTTGTCATCCTGTGCTTGATATAAGTGTCTGTAGTCACTCTCCCATCGCTGTACGACAGCATCAGTCTCAGTGTTGACACTTCCGTCGCCATCAATTACCGCCATAGGAATGTTTGTCTTCCGGTCGTTGGCTGTTCCAAGTTTTCTCAGTTCCTTCCAGAAGTCACGTGACGAGTCGTGCAGCATCTCCGAGAGATTATCCTTCTTCAACTGCTGGTATCTCCGCTTAGCCTGTCTCAACAACATTTTGTTAAACAGTTTACGTTCACAGCAGAACTCGTGCTTCAACCTATCCTTCTCCTGTTTCGATCCTTTGAATCTAAGCCAGCTTCTTTCTTTCGCCGACACTGCAGAAAACCTGGCATCTAGTTCGTCATTCCAGTATGGCTTGGTTTTACAGCGCTTAGCCTTGTGAGAGTAAGGTCCGTTTGGGATTCGTTTGCTGGGTAACTTTTCCTTCATTTCCGACTCGAGTAACTGTGTGAAGTGACCATAGGCTGTGTTGATATCTCCGCTTGCTAGAGCTGATTACATCAGACCAATTGTTATGTCCACTTGAACTGCAGCGTTGGAGTCATTAAGGAAAGATTCAGGAATGTCCGATGTTATATAACAAGTGTTCCCACATCTTGTAACTTTCTCACATTTATCTGGTTTCTCGCCTGTCAAATCTAAGTCAATAGTCCACTCCAGTAAACTGTGATCCGGTGTCTTTTCACATGCCTCAAGATTGAATGATCTTTGAACATCAGAAACTAGTCGAACATTAAAATCAACACACCATGATAATTGCTCATATGGCACTAATACATAGTCAACAACTGATTTTCCGCGATATGAAACATGAGTAAAGTCTCGGGTACCGATCCTTCCATTTAACATACATATATGTGTAAGTCATGACGTCGATCAAAAGGTTACCGTGACCGTTCTCAACCTCGTCGATTGCAGTGCGTGGGGTCACGTGATCCACCCCCGCGATGAAGTCCGTGCAGCTCGCGCATCTCGCATTGAAGTCACCGCACAAGTACAACCGACCTAGATTTTGATATTGACACACATGCTCGTGCAAAGTGTTGAAGAACTCCTCTGAGTCACAAGGTCGTGTCGACCTTTCAGGGGGCAGATAGCATACACAAACACAAAACACCAAATCAGTAGTTTTAGAGGAAAATTTGAGCCATAAAATGTCTTCTTCAGTTTGATCTAACACAGTCACATCAAAACACTTTAAAAAGTCATTTTTAACAAAAACACCAACACCTCCAGACCCCCTCTTCGCATGTACATGCCTGGTTGACCTGTTATTACCGTACCACTGATAACCTTCACAACATGTTAAAACATCATTAGGGTTTAAAAACGTTTCACATACAGCAAAACATCGTAGTTACAAGATTCAATAACTGATTTTCTAAAATAGGAATTGTCATTGTCTTTAATTGAAAATCCACCCACGTTCCAGAATCCTAGACGGGCACACCTCTAATGTTTATGTTGAGAGTTGATTTTCATCAACCTACCTCCTGTCACAGTGAGGATAAGTCTTGTCCTTGCCCAGTTCACGGAGTAGCGTTCTCAGGTTAGCCTCCGATTTTGTAGCCTCTATAGGAATGTCATGTTCGATATACACTCTATCATAATGTTTGCTATTCTTGAGTTTGGATTTGTTTTTGAACACTTGTGATTTCTGTTCAGGCGAACTCAGAGTTGCTATCACAACGCCAGGGTATTTCCCGGTCCCTCGTTTTTCTTTCCTCACAGCATTCTTCACAAACACATCTTTAAGTTTAAGTTCATCTCTAATGAGGCCGATGACTTTACCTTTGGTGATTGCGCTGTCTTGTAGTTCCTTGGCGTCTTCATGCAGGTTCTTGATGATGATGTTACACTCCCGTGTGTCGTCTGCTAGCTTCCCGCCCTTTACCGCGCTGGCGTAGGTAGTCTCCATCTTGGATAGATTGGAGTGTAGTTTGTCAATCTCTCCCTGAAACTCGTCTCTCACTTTTTGTAGTTCACACGTTATCGTTAATTTCAACTTTTCATCAATCACCTTTTCTAGATTCTTGGTTATTCTTTCCTCTAAGTTCACTTCAAGTCTATCAATTCGTGAGTTCACAGATTCAAATTGTTTAGTCATATTTGATAGAAGATCGGAAAATAGGTTCCGAACGCTTGATTCCGTACATATAGAGTCTTCTTTGAGAGCAGCTTGACCCGAGTTACAACTCACTGTTCGTTGTGATGACACGTCGGACCGTCTCGCTTCGTTAGGCGCCATTACTGTCGACACGTAGCTTTCGGCTTCTGTGTAGTCTTCTCGGAGTTTTTTTCTGCAAGTTGTCGTCGTTTTCATCTCGATGTCGCTTTCGGATGGTTTCTACATCAATAGTAGACATTGTCTCACCTTTTTTGAGTACGATCGACTATTATTTATAGTATAAACCAAGAGAAATCTTATGATTTCAGAGAGCTCTCAAAATCGTGGCCCGCTCGCTCCCGACATGCGCAGTTCTCCATATGTCAGACATCCCAATACTCAGACAGGTTAAAACAACAAACCAAATGGTTGAGTGCACAGATAATCACCTGCCTGTTACCTCTAAATCAAATAGGAATAGCCATAAGATAAATAACAGAACAGAACTTTATTACACTCAGACCGATGAGGTAACAATGGCAAATGCATATGTAGCCACGCCCCCTACTGAAAGGTTTGTCCCGCGACAAATGTAAAACAAACATATGTGCTGTTATATTGTTGGACAACCTGCTTGATGGTGCCACGTACACGTCCTTCACTGTAATGTTTATGCATACATGCACATCTGCATCTTATGAAACCTGTTTATAAGTTTACTGAATACAATAATTCAGCATAGTTTCACTTTTTAAAATCTATAGCACATGTACTTTCTTCATTTATGGAAAGGTGCAGATTATATTTACAGGCACAGCAAACCATTATATTGTATGTACAACTTGTGTACGCAGAAAATATATGATACTAAATCCTCATCACCTGTCTCTTCCTGTGTGACAGGTATCTCATGATATGACTGCTCATAGATAACAAATGACCAGCCACTGTACTGAACGCAATTACTCATCATGATCAAAGGCTTATACAGCGTTTGGTAAATGAACTCATGTCGTCGAGAAAGGGGATTGTGTGATGTGTTTACAGAGGTAAGTTATTGGTACTCTTCATTGGGAGTGGATACTAAAATGGTTTTTATGTACATTGATTGGATAAGATATAATGTTTTAGAGGTTTGAGGTCGTGAGAAGACTGGGGTAAACCTGTTCCTACTCAGATGTGTAAAATACTGGGTCTGTTTACATTACATTATAGGAAGGCGGTGGCTGAATATGTAAAATACTTTACGCTTTCAGAGAGAACGAGTGTAAAAACAAAACAACAGTTTCCACTGAATCTTTCATGATCATGGCAAATCTAAGCGACAGCAACAGCGACTTTGAGCTAAATTTAGAGCTGAGCGACAGTGATGTTTTTATTCAGTGATACGTCTGAAGAATCCAGCAGCAGCGGACCGGACACCAACGCCAGGCTCGACAGCAGACATTGCCCCCAGCATGCAAAAGATCGACTTCTTGAAGATGTTCTTCACCGATCACGTCCTTGACATCATCGTCGGCCAAACCCACCTATATGCCCAGCAACAGCAAGCTAGACATGGACGAGACGTAAATTCGGCTCCTGTTACCAAAGAAGAATTCCGAACATGGCTGGGCATTTGAGTGTTCATGTCTGTGAACCATCTACCAAACATTGACATGTACTGGTCAGAGGACTACCTGTTTGGCGTCCACAGTGTAGCAGCCATCATGAAGATAGACCGAATGAACAAGATATCCCAGAACCTCCATGTCGCAGACTCCAGCAACAATGTGGGATGAGGCCACGGAGGACATGACAAACTACACAGGATTCGACCTGTGCTTGAGATTCTGCGTGACAAGTGCCGTACCCAGTACAACCCTCACCAGAACATTAGCATTGATGAAGCTGTGGTGGCATTCAGGGGTAGACTTGCCTTCAGACAGTACCTGCCAGCCAAGCCCACCAAGTACGGAATCAGGTGTGGATGACGGCAGACCCAGAGAACGGTCACGTCAGTGATTTCCAGGTGTACGCCGGCAAGGATAACAGTACCGCAAAAGTTGGACTTGGATCCAGAGTTGTCATGGATATGATCTCCGGTGTGGAGGACAGGTATCACATTGTGAACTGTGACAATTATTTCATGAGTCCACAACTATGTCGGAGTCTACTTGACGTCGGCACATATGAAAGAGGCACAGTCAGGAGCAACAGGAAGGGCTTTCCGAGTTCCGTTCTACACTCCAAGTGTGTGAAGAACCAAGGAGACATGGTGGTCGCCCAGAAAGGAGATTTGGTGGCAGTCGTGTGGAAGGACAAAAAGGTGTGTAAAATTAAATTTACGTTTCAATAAATTAAAATTGCATAATATAAGCTTGCAGCTCTCGTGTATTTAGCAGTTTCTTACTAAAGATCTTGCCACCTCTCCGTAATTATCTTATCCCGTGTAATTATCAAGTGTACCAATGAACTCTTGTCAAGCCCCCTGTCCTACAGACGTGAAACAATACAACGACCACACGAACGGTGTCGACCGAGCAGACCAGATCAGGAGAGAGCTTATCACCTACCGTACCAGCAAGAAGTGGTGGCACTATCTCTTCTGGTTTACCTTTGACGTCGCCGTCGCCAACGCCTTCGTCCTCATGAGAGACTCGCAATCCCACCGACAGATGACAAAGTCACACAGAACCAAGCCCAGAACCATGCTACAGTTTCGTATCGCCCTATCCAAACAACTGATCGGCCAGTTCCAGGGCATGAGAAAGAGGAAGAGAATATCTAACAAGGATGGAGCAGGGACGTCCCACTGGCCCTCAATGTCTGAGAAGAGGGGACGATGCCGTCAGTGCTCCAAGGCTGGCAAACGACGAGAGGTCAAATGCAGACGTTCAAGCTGTGAAGTGTTTTTTGTGTGTTGACTGTTTTGAGGCTTACCATAAGGACTTGTTTCAAGGACGATAATAGTTTATGCTCTAGTTCTGTACGCAAAGTATAAATGATACTGAATAATATTTCTATTCAGTTGCATTTCGATCGTTATTGTTTTACTTATCTAAATACTAAGAAATGCATGTTCAATATCTGAGAACAAATATACTCGCCAAAGAGTCAATCCACTCCCATTTGTCTTATGTGTTTATTTCATACATCGCTACAATAACTGAATCTATGTTTACAATACACCAACTGCTGCATGATAGTTCATACAGCCGAAACTTGGCATATCGATTTCTCACCGATACAGCCAATAATCAATCTCTATCCAAGCTGTTGAATGACTAAGGTGTTCATCAGAAATTTAGGCCACACCCCATTACCTGTCCCTTCCCCTGTGACAGGTGTCTCATGATACGATTGGTCATAGATAATAAATGATCAGCCTCTATATTGAGCAATTGAGATACAAAATGTTCTACTCGTGAAACTTGATCCCATCCCATCAAATGTATCATACAATATGTATATGTTGAATGGTTATGTATGTTTGCAGTGTTAAATCATGATGAAAACTATGAATCTGCTCTATGTTACTTACATACGCATTGGTACTTTCCATAAAATATTCAGTATACACGAGCAATGTATTGGCAAAAAAGTTACTTTTGCAGACGATTATAAAGTATGTAAGTCCCTTCGTCTTCAAAATCTATGATTATCTATAATATATAATCCTGTAATCTGAAACGATTCTTTGAAAAATTAAATCAATATGATGATAGAGGAAGAATTTGTTTATTTACGCCTCATCTCGTACATAATAAGACTACATATGTGTTGATAATATATTGAACATCATTGAAAATGCACCAGTCTAAAATTGTCCATATTTTCATCAAGATGGATTTCAGCATGACAATGATCAATGAATATAACTAACATGAAGTCGAAGGGCATGACCAGTAGAGAAAAATGCTTTAGAAACAAATTCCTGTCCACAGTATGATTCTTAATTCCAAAATGCATCAACATGCAACCATGCCATGTTGACTGTGACATTAAAAGTAGGTGTATGAGAACCGATTCTCATTGCTTCACTAACGATCGTGAAACGAGAACAGAGATGCCGAAGTTAACACCTCACGAAAGAGAACGTGCACTAGGCATGATTCAGGTTGGCACCAGCAGCAGGGATATTGCTCGACAACTTGGACTTGGCCACTCCACCATTGTTAGGCTTTATAGACGACATCAGTAGATAGGTAGCACCCGTGAAGTAGTAGTACAGTGGGGATTCTGCATCACATGTGGCTTAGAGGCTTATTTATGGGAATTAAGCACCCCAGTCCCCCTTAAAAATAGTGAGTGTGTAGCGCGAGCCATACTACGAGCTCGCCAGGTTACAAAAGATAGAAAGGTTAAAAAAATAGCAAAGTACCCTTATAAGACTTTCATCACCTATTAAATATGAGTGATGATAGATGAATATCATCATTCCCGCTGAAAGGATATTGTGCGAATGGTTTGACCCCACCAAAACGCAGTCTATTTTAGATCGCTTAGGGTCTACCGACGGCGAATTACAATGGCTCATCACGTTGATATGCAAACCGCTTTTAAACAATGGTGACGTACTTATTCGCCACCATTTAGAGACGCATGATATCACCCCCGATATCATCATCAAACTTAAAAAATGGCCAGTTGAAATAACGCATCAGCGCGATTATATTCGTCGATTATTTTACGACTCGTTTCTTCATGACAAGCAATTTCGACGAGCTAAGGCTTTTGTGCTGGCATGCAAAATAGAAGCATTGTGTTATTCGGCAACGATCGGTCATTGTGAAAAAAAGGACTACTATGATAATACGAAATTGGGATGCTATGGAAATAGTGCAGCGGTATTCATCTACATGCGGCGAGGTGAACGCCAATCTCGATCCGCTGTCCGAAACGTGTCAGTTATCGGGTCCGTATTTAATCAATTAATGACTCGATCATCAATTATCTCTGCTAAAAATATGATTTCTTCCCACGATTCAATTAAATCCACAAGTGAGTTACGAAGAATGCCAAGACATTATTTTGCGGAATCAACAAAAAAATGTCGAAAACACGTCTAAAATGTATCACTGCCCCAGTTGTCATGCTCGAGAATGTGTGTATCGCGAAGTTCAAACCCGGTCTTTAGACGAACCCGCTACTATTTTTTGTACGTGTGTAAACTGCGGCCAGGAATTTAAGGGCTAAGAAACACATTAGTCTATGTGGAAGGGGTCCCTAGGTTTTGGCGTTCGAATCCCATGCAGACATTTTTAGGTAATTTCACATCTACAAAGCAGTTTAACTTGAATTTATGGTATCTTTGTTCTGGGTCAGGAAGGTTTGAATGATTTGTTGTCGGCCTTGTTCTAAGAGCTTTTTTTCTCGTCTTTGCTGATGTGAGCAGTTTTTCGAGTCTTGATTCGAATCTCTTCCTTCATGTGGTGGTATTTCGCGATTTCCGACACCACCAAACAAACCTCTTCCTCGGAGATTTTGCAATCGGTGATCACGGTGGAAATATGATCATTGATCGTGTTTAACTTGGCTTCGGCCAGAACCCTGATCTCGTCATGCTTCAGTGCTTTCTAACCCGAGGACGACGAGTGTGGCCACGATGGTGGATGATATGCCAAACGCCCGCTATGCCTGATCCCATGCTAACTGCCACGAGAGATGTGTCCACAACGTCAATGGCATTGACGTCTCGATGGTATTTTTTGTGCAATCCGAGTCGCACGTTGCGTTCTCCATCCAATTGGTTTTTGATTTTGCTGATCTGCCGCAAACGAAATCCATCCAGCGTTTGAGCCACGTCGTCCATGGCCGGATACAATCCCATCTCGAGTGTATTATAAGTTAGGAAATAAGCTTCAATTGGTCCGCCCTCAATCTTTGTTTAATATATTTATAGCTATTGAGGTTGAGATTGGCATATAAATAAAGCCTTGATATTGTAAGGGATTTTGCGGTATCAGGAATAAGAACAAAAGCTCCCACCACGTTGGTCGTGGGAACTGTTCCAGGTTGTATATAAATACGCCACCGTTGATGGTATGTTCGCGACACCAGCGTATGTTTACCCAATCCAAAAGGATCACCTTATTTTCGGAGGCATTTCCAAGATAGCATTCTATAATATGAGTTGAATATAATTTCATACTGAAATCTGGATTTAAAAATCAAATTGATATGGGGGAATACCAAATATCAATGCGGCTTGTATATGGGTGGGGGCTAACATAGAGTCACTATGATCTGGTATTTGCAAAAGTGGTATCGAATGAGGTGCTGGAGTGGCAGTCGTCCCAATAATCCCTTTATTTTTTACTTAGATGACGTAACCATTATCATCTAAACTTTTGTAAGGGTAGATGAATTAAAGGTTAATAAAACAGTCAACTTTTAGCATCTCTCGTCGTTAGTACACGTTCTTTTGTAAGTGCAATACGTACAAGGCATCTTCCATCCCTGGTACGTCGAATCCTCGCGTGTCCCCGAGATCGGAGAATGCAATGGTAGACTGGTTTGACACGTTACTCATGGTGGTTATACTCGTATTAGGGAAGAGCCTTCAATTGGTTCTTTGATAATTTCTCGAGCATAAACTTTAAGCTGATGAGATGGATTTTCGGAGGTAAAAAAATCTTCGTGAGCGCGATTTTATTATCCACGGTAATCGTGACGTCTTAGAGACTTAGTAAACCATTGAAATAAACGTAAATACAGTAGGAAATACATGCCATGACCGGGTTTACGTATGTTTTCAGATATTTCCTAACTTCGGGCACATATTTCATATGAATCTATACCTTTGAAACATATGCTCATCGTACATTTTCGTATGCACAAGCACCTCGTTCATGTATGCCCTGAACGGATTGTCATGGATTTCCAAATATGAATTGCAAAACAGATACCCCGGTAAATACATGATCATACAGTATTTCCAATGCATTCCTTTGAATTTCAATGGGTGCAGAAATTTCCGATTTCGTTCTAAGTTTACTCGGGTTGGAAACATGTGAATTTACATAGGTGGGAAAACACATGTAAATTTTCAAATTTGCAAATGTTTACACACCTTAGATATTTATGTATCATACCGAATTTCCGGGGTATGTATATGAACGGTTCATACACCATCATGTTACCTGTACTCAAGCAAGATGATCATGTTTCCATCATGTGAATTACTTGGCTCATGTAATTTCACTTTCACACATTTTAGTACGTTTGAAATGAACGTTCACGTGACCTCAATATTCTTATCACCAAGAGCCTGACAAAGAAAGCGGTATTACGCAAGCTAACACGCCTTATTAAGTTGCACTCGTTCTTGCTACCAGTATCAGTTACGCCTTGTCTGTGGTGTTGGCAAATCTTGTGAGGTGCATGTTTCGAGGGATTGAAAGGTTCAGTGGTGAACAAAGGGCGATGCGTTGCCCCTTTGTCCTCGCAAAGTGTCCCTAGCTGCCCCAAAGAATAGCACTTTGTCTCTCTTGGAGCACAGTCAAATATGCTACACGAACCAACTCGTAATTTCTTAAGTCTGTTCAGCTCGCGCATCTACTGTAAAATATTTTGTGGCAGTACATAATTGGAATATTATTGCACTGCATGTGACCTTCTTAATAGTCTCACAGTGCCTGAACCATGTTATTTTCCATTCGCTCAGCCTTTGCTGTAATAACGCCATACATAAACTTTAAAGTTTGTTTCACTAACGCAAAGTATACAATAAGAAACAATGTCATATCAAATTATATTCTGTGAGACATGAAATGAAAAATTGTTTTTATCGAGTAGCGATTATGACCGGATAGCACAGGCGGGTGCGTTCTCTGAGTATATCATAGACATGTTGGATCTCCGTGCCTTTTGTGAAATTCGTCTATATTGTCCTGTTTAAATTGACGATCCATAACTCAGATTGCGAGTAAATATCACGTAAGTAATTGTGATGTCGCATTGCTGTAAATTTCCCTGTCGAAAAAGTCATTGTCACAAGATGTATATTCCCTTGTTTGGAGAAGATCTATGGCTATTACGCCCCAGTGTTGCTAAACATTTTATAGGCCTTTAGTCTGACACAGACGCGGACATCGCATGTTCAAGTTCTGATCTGACAGGAGCTTAA